CCACCGCCAGCGCCAAGACTAAGTAAAAAGTAAGCTGGTCATTGTACTCCTTGTCGTGCATGCTCAAATCAGTGAACTCTGACAGCACTTGAGGGAAGCTGTCGGCCACCGCCAGGTTCACAATGACCGTTGCTGAACGAGAGGGCCGCCCGTTGTCCTCCACGACAACAGTCAGTCTTTGTTTGACAGCATCTTTGTCAGTCACTTGGCGGACAGTTCGGATTTCTCCGTTGTGGAGGCCCACTTCCAAGAGCGCCCTGTCGGTGGCGTTGTGCAGGCGTTCTGACCGGAGTCCACATCCACGGCCACCACTTTTGTCACAAGATAGCCCACATCTGCAGAACGAGGCACCATTTCGGCCAGCAGCGAGCCGCCCGTCTGCACTGGGTACAGGACCTGAGGGGCGTTGTCGTTCTGGTCCTGGATCAGGATGCGAACGCTCACGTTGCTGCTGAGGGGAGGGGAGCCGCCATCCTGTGCTCTGACCACCAAGTCCAGTTGTTTAATTTGCTCATAATCAAATGATCGAACAGCACTGAGAACACCAGTTTCAGAATTCAAAGTAACAAAAGTCGAAATTGGACTGCCAGTTATCTGTGTATCTTCCAAAAGGTAAGAGATTCTCGCGTTTTGATTCCAATCAGCGTCTCGGGCAGAGACAGCAAATATGGAAGTGCCAGGCGAATTATTCTCTGCAATATAAGCTGAATAAATATTTTTATTGAATAATGGTGCATTGTCATTCACGTCTGATATTTTAAGATGTAACTTGGTTGAGCTAGAAAGTGGAGGTGCTCCCAGATCAGTGGCTGTAATTGTTATGTTATATTCTGAAACAGATTCTCGATCAAAATATTGATCTGAAATCAAATTGTAATAGTTTGTTAAAGAAGTCTCGAGTTTAAAAGGAAGTTTTCTATCAATGGAACACTTTATTTGCCCATTTCTGTCAGAATCGATATCTTTTATGTTCAGAACTGCAACTGTCGTACCAGGTGGTGAATCCTCAGACAAAGGACTTGAAAATGACATTATATGAATAACTGGGGCATTGTCATTGATGTCAATAACATCAAATATAACTTTACTGGTCCCAGTCAATCCACCTTGATCCTTTGCTTCCACTCTCACTTCAAATTTTCTATTTTTTTCATAGTCTATTTGACCAGACACGGAAATCGTGCCAGTATTTTCGTCAATATTAAATATATCTGCGGCACCTCCTTTCATTTTTGACAAACTGTAAGTCATGAGTCCATATGAACCACTGTCAGCGTCTGTCGCATTTACAGTTATTATACTCGTACCTTTCATTGTGTTTTCCATAACAGTAGCCTTATACACCGACTGGTTAAAGACAGGTTCGTTGTCATTTGCATCTAAAACGTTTATTTCTATATTTACGGTCCCGGATCTCTGTGGTGTTCCTCCATCAACTGCAATTAATTTTAAAGACAAACGGGGCCGTCGCTCTCTGTCTAAAGGCTTCTGCAGCACCATTTCAACATATTTACTGCCGTCTGGATTTGCATGCTGATTTAGGATAAAATTCTCGTTTGCTGACAAAATGTAATTTTGTAATGCGTTTTGACCCGCATCTTGATCGTCCGCACTCTGCAAAGGGAAGCGGACTCCAACTGCAGCAGATTCACTTATTTCAAATAGAAGAGCGTTATTTTTAATTGGAAATACGGGAGCGTGATCGTTTATATCCAAAACCTCAACAATTACCCTATGCAGCTCGATCGGGTTTTCTAAAATGATTTCAAAGCTGAAGCTGCACGGCGTCACATCTCCGCAAAGCTGCTCGCGGTCGATTCTGTCACTGACAACCAGGAGCCCTTTGTCTGTTTTCAGCTCCGCGTACTGGATGCTTTCTCCCGTCACGATGCGGGCCCGTCCAGAAATTAGTCTCTTCGTGTCCAAACCGAGATCCAGCGCCACGTTTCCTACCGTAGAGCCCTTTTTCATCTCCTCTGGAATAGAATAACGAATCTGACCACCTACCGTGGTAATCAAACGAAGCAGAAACATCAGCGTTCCTATTTTCCACCTCCACCCATAAAACAACCTCCGTGTTGTGTAGGAGAACGAGATACGTCCGTGTATATCCATGATGATTAAAAAAAAAAAGCAATCCTATGGCCTGGTGATTGGTAAAGAATCTGTTCCCTACTCACATCACCTCTTAACAAGAATGTGATGAGTTTTCATCTCCTCTGGAATAGAATAACGAATCTGACCACCTACCGTGGTAATCAAACGAAGCAGAAACATCAGCGTTCCTATTTTCCACCTCCACCCATAAAACAACCTCTGTGTTGTGTGGGAGAACGAGATATGTCCGTGTATATCCATGATGATTAAAAAAAAAAAAAAAACAAATCCAATGGCCTGGTGA